TGCCACCTCCCCCTCAGAGGTGTTCAACCAGGCCTTCTCTGCCCAGCCCTCCAGTGAAGGTAGAGCTGCCAGAGCCCCTCTTCCCAAACCCTCCCGAACCTTCCCAAACCTTCCCAGTCCTCCCAGAGCTCCTTGGATGCAGATCCCTGGGAGGGGAGGCTGTGGAGGTGTTAGAGCTCCAAGTGCCAGTAAGATTTGGAACTCTCCTCTTGGGATCCCAATTAAAACAGCTCAAAACAGGAGAGGGAAACTCGTGCTAGCCTTGAGAAGTCAGTTGAGGTGAATCTCCTGGGAAGGGCTGGAAAACCCAGAGCTCCAGTTCCCAACTGGAACTCCCTGTGAGCCAGGACTGGCACTGTAAGTAGGCAAATTCCAGGGAGGTAAGCACTGCCTGAGACATGGATTTGCATCTTAATTGGCAGCAATGTGCTTCCAGCAGCTCACTGGAGCTCCAGAGACTCCTCTGGTTGAGCTTTCACTTCCACCCCTTGGATCAAAGCTGTGGGGCCAGGGGTGAAGTTTTGGCCTGAGTGAGGGGAGGGAGCATTCCCTGTCTCTGCAGGGTCACTGGGAGCTCCCTGGGCTTTACTGGTGCTGTGTTCACCCTCAGGACACTCCTCGGTGGTACCAGATGGGGACCAGGCCAGTTCTGAGGATCTCAGCTTTGTCCCTGCAGATGACAGCACCAGGTAACTGGGAAGGTTCTCCTGGGGCTGCTCAGGGATCCTGAGCTCCCTCTGCCTCTGAGGCAGCCTGGAAGGGAGGGAGGGAGGGAGGGCTGAGCTCTGAATGCTCCCAAAACTGACTGGGTTGAAGCAGCTGGCATAAAATTTTAACTCTTAGATTGTGTTTGTTTGAGGCCTTCTCCAGCAGGAGAGTTCTCAGTGCACACTGCCTTTGTTTGGAGCAGGTAGAGCGTGGGCTCGGGGCCCGAAGATCCGTGGCTGCATCCCTGGGGAGGTGTGTGAGTCCCTGGAGCTGTGCCCAGGCTGTGCCCTCTCCACTCTGGGTTCTTCTGCCATTGTCTCACCCTGCCCTGGGCACGAGGACCTTTGCAGGGGTGGCCCTGCTGCTCCACCAGCCTCAGCTGCCCTGAGGAGTCGTGGGAAAGGTGCTGAGCCCCAGCCTGGGATGAGAGTCCTGCTGTGCCACTGGAATGAGCAGAGTGTGACTGTCCTTTGGAATGCTGGGGGAAATCAGCCACCACTCCATTGTTCCCCCAGTTGGTGACGTGGACCAACCACACCCATTGCCAAACTCTTTGTTGCATTTTGAGCTGCTGAAGTCCTTGTGAAGCTCCTGTGGGAGCTGATGCCTGGTTAGTGACAAAGCATGAGCCCTGTCAGTACCTGCTGGTGTTGTCCTCGTGTGGCTGCCTGTGCCCTGTGTCCGTGTGGATGTGCTCTACAACTCCTGGTTTGAAACTGTTTGCACTTTGTTAATAAAATGAATGTTGAAATCTGAATTTCAGGTGTTTTGTGTGTGGATAAGTAAAACGGTGGAGGCTGTCAGGGTCAGCTCCACTCACTGCAACACCTGGCTGTGTGTGGAGGGACTTTTCCTGTCACTTTTTTCTTTAATTATTCAGTGAAAAGCACTGAAACCCCTCTGGGATTCTGTTTGTAGAAGCCAGACCAAATGCTGAAATCAAATGAAACCAAATGCTGATTCAAACAGGAATTGAGAAGGATGCAGAATTTTCCCCAAAGTTGCTTTGGTTCTTCAGAGGGAGCAGATGCTGGGCCAGGCCAGGCCACACCTGGAGGTGCCTTGGGGGTGTTTGGGGCTGTGGTGGTCACACAGCTCAGTCCCTGGAGCTGTGGAGCTCTGGAGCACAGGGGCTGCTCTGGCTGAGAGAGGAGCTGGTGCTTTGCTCACCTTCTATGGGCAGCTTATTCAGAGCTGGTTGGGGAAGGGACTTGGAAGAAATTCATCTCCTTGTGCTGTGCCATGACAGCCCCATCACTTTGGCCACAGTGGTGGGCCCTGAGCACCACATGGAAGCCAGAAAGGAAACCCCAGTTCCACATCCAAAGGAAAGCCCCTTCCACCACACTAAAGGCACAGCTGCTTGCTGCCTTTGTTAGCTCTTCAATAACCAGACTAGCTGGAGTGTGGTTTAAATTACTGTTTTATTAAGATATTGGTAAAACTTCAACAGTTTTTCCTGTATAAACAGCTTTCATAAATAAAATATGGATGACTAATACATGGTTAGAACTAAACTCACGGGTGAACTGTAGAACAAGATTGCAAATGGAAAAGTCCCAACACTGGTACATGATTTAGCTTGGATTTATTCACTTCATAAAGAACATGTTTCATGAACAAGGTACTACAGAAAGGTCAGCAGGAGCACCCAGGAGCTGAGACCGTGCCTGGCTGGCCATGAGCAGCAGCAGCACTCGGGGTGAGCTCAGCCACCTCCCCTGCTCTCGTCCCGAGGTGTCTTCGGAGGGAAGGAGAGGAAAGACCGGACAGGACAAGGGTTGCACGAGACCCTGACAGGTGGGGCTTGTTTGTCTTTAATGCTGGCAAGGGCTGTGCCATGGCTGGGGTGCCAGGGCTGGAGGGGGGCACGGACATCGGGCTCCGAGGTCCCGTTAATGCTTCCTTATTATTGCACATGATACGAGGGTAGAAAGTTTTGTTCCTGTCGCAAAGAAGATGTGAATTAAAGAAAGATTGCCCTAAATTACAGACACGAACAAAGCTGCAGTATCCCCTTGGATGGCTTTGTTTATGTGACTGAGTGCCGAGTGAAGAAATTGTGCTAAAACACCCCCTAATTTAGACCAATCTTTCTCATTTTGCTTTATTCCCGCAGAATCTTGGGGTCGGGAGGATTTGGTGAGGAGAGAGTGGACCTGAACTAAAGCAGCCATGTCTGTGCACACAACTCCTTGTGCCTCATCTGCCCATGGGACAACTGACACACAGTGCTCCAAAAACAGGTGGAGTTTCTAGGATGATGCACCACCAGAAACGTGGTGTAAGTTAAGTTAAATCTGCTTGGACATTGTCCTCGAGCGCTGCAGCTCAGCAGCTCAGCTACGGACGGTTCTCACTCACAAGGACAATGGATGGCACTTCTAGGTAAAGAAAAGTTCCACACGTGCGTTTCCACCCACCTCTAGTGCAGATGGAATGGGTGAAGAGCTCCCTGCCCTGTGCTGCTCTGCTCTCTGCACCGCACGCGTTCCTCAGCCTTGGGAAGCACCGCGGCCCCCGCGGCGCTCACAGTGAAGAGCTCACGAGCTGGTTTGGAGCAGCTCCAGGCAAAGCAGCCCCGAGCCCCTTCCTCAAAACCACCACAACTGAAACAGAACAAAGCTAAAGTCGTGTTGTCACTGCTACCTCCTGGTTCTGCAACCACGGTCAGCACGGCGACCGAGAGGGATGCGGGGCTGTGTGGACGCGGCAAAGGGATACTTCAGCTCTTTATTGGAAAGATTTCGTTGTACAAATTTTCACCACCACTAAGATACACGATAAAAATACAAAACACAGGTCACAGACTAAATCTCAGTATCAACAGTTAATAAATACAATGAGATAGTTCTCTATTAGCCTAATATTTTACACTGTCACCAGATAGACGATCAAGGTACGAATACAGAACACTTAGATACCGTTAGAGAGGGATTATTGCTTACGTCAGCAAGCAGCAGATAAGGGCACAGGAGTTTGAACTGAAGGAACTACTTCCTATCACCAGTGGCATTAAGAGAAAACACTGCATTTCACAAGCACTGCTTTTTGTCTAGTGTGTAGAATCAAGAGCAGCATAATCAGACCAATAACCACTACTTTTAATATTATAGAACTTTAAAGGACTTACCTTACAAATGGTTCCTATCTACTCTATAAATATGCAGTTAGTGAAGAAATGAACACTTGCTCTATCTATACAATGGTTTCACCTGACCACACTGCAACTACGATGGTGGACTGGTTTTTTTTCTCCTAGCAAGATAAATGGGATGAGTCGCAGAATTACCATTTATGAATCCACGCCTAAAAAAGCTAGATCCTTCCCAAAACAGCACACATGCAGTCCAGTGCTCTTCAACTGCTCCTGCAGACTGGGAAGAAGTTTTATCATCCGTGACGGGTTTGCATTCTCATTTACTCACATCAAGAATTGCACTTACACCACCTTTCTCTCCAGAACATGACAGTCAGCTAAAGATGGACTTTCAGTGAGTCATTATTACTGTGAATAATTTAAAACAAAGGCACCGCAGAGATGCCCCAGAGTTGCATATTTTACCATTTCATGGTTTCTCAAATTTCCTCGGTAAATCTGACTTGGACCAGAAGCTGCAGCTAAAGAGAACGTTGACAACAGCTAAGGCAGAACAAGATGGCAGATAAGAGCCAATGATCCCGTAAGATTAAAACAAAGTCTGAAAAAGATCAAAGGAATCTAAAGCCACACTCCAACTCCTGGTTGCTCACAAAGCCTTTTGCTGTTCATCAGATTGCTTTTAAAATAGTGCATCAAAGAGAGAAGCAGCGGAAATTGGCAGAATTCAAGCCTCGCCATCTTGTCGTGTTGAATAATTTTCTTGACTACTTAATATTAAAATACTTTGCAAATTCTAGCTAAACACTAATACTGCTATTGTTACTGCTAAAATGATATGGATTGTTCACTAAGTGCCTATGAAGACTTATTTTGTTCATCCTCCTCCCAATGCATCGCTGTAACACAGGGTAGGAACGGGATCTGGACTTGGTGGAGCTGATGGGAATCGGCCGCTCACTCACGTCCCAATTAGCGGCTGCCCTGAGGCAGCGGGCAGGGGCTGCTCATGCACAAAGGGCAGCCGAGCAGAGCCCTGCGGGGCACCGAGCTCCTCCCTGTGCGCTGCAGCCCCAGCGCAGCCCCTGCTCTGCTGATCCTCGGCATTCGCATCCCTTGGATCGCTCCGCACCCGTCCCTGCACACCTGAGCGCGCAGCCCTGGAGCTGCGTCCGTCCTGCTGCCGCTGGCTGTGAAACGCTGCCTTTGCCAGCTGGGAATCCTCACCAGAACCACACAGCTCCTCCAACAGCTCCTGATCTCCGCTGGGACGGGCGGGGACAGAGGGTGGGACTGGACACCTCCACGGGTTGGGTTCTTTTAAGACCTGAGATGAAGTTAAGGTGGGAAGAGGTTGGCTCAGAGCATTAAGCACAGTCATGTTCAACTCATTGAGAACAATTTCCTAAACTGAGAAATGAGGAAAATGCCACCAAAAGCACCAGAAAGATACGAAATTCCCTACACTGCACCTCCAGCTATAGGAAATAATTTCTTTAAACTGCAAGAAAAGTTTTCTTCATACTCTGCATTTTATATTACATGGGAAAAAAAAGGTAAATGATGAGTCTGTACCTCGATGGGAGTCTGAGACCAGAGCAGCAGGAGCTTAGTGTGTCCATTCCTAAGGTACCTGGTAAACCCTGTATGGCTTTTAGTCGTCTACCTGCAAAAGTGGATGTAATTTTCTAATTCATCTTAACGCTCACCTGGAATAAACAGAAAGCAGAACACGAAAGGAAAAACAAAAACCCAAAAACACCTCGACTCTATTATGGAAACTTCCCCCCGCTCTAAAAAAATTTGGCAGTTCTAACCCAGATCGTTCTTTGAGTATTGCTCCACAGACATTTCTCAGGCAGGTGCAACCTTCTGCGTGTGTAAGGACGTGCCCTGGCGTTGTCTGTCTGTCTGTCTGTCTGTCTGTCTGTCCACGTGCAGCGCTGCTGGGCTCTCCCTGCTGGATGTGGCTGACACTCGTGTGTGCGGGTGGTCGGGCGGCTGCGGCATTGCTGGGGGTGGCACCACCACCAAACTTTGTTAGAGATCCAAACAACTACATTGGTTAATTCCTAGTTCTATTTACACGGGGTTGAGCTTGGCAGGGGACTGGAGTACAGTTCGGAAATGCCCACCTCTTTTTTTTTTTTCTTTTTTTTTTTTTTTTCTCTTTCTGATGATGCCAGTTTTATTTTGGGAATGTCTACTATGGGAGTCTGACAGGGGAACACGAGGGGGTGGTTACATTTTACAGCATTGATGAAGGTGTGGGTCTGGTATACAATGACTTTGTCTTCGCATCAAACACTCGCTGTAAGAGCCGTGGCTGGGCAGCCTCCGCCACGGGGAGGGCCGGGCCAAGGCCCTCCGGCTCCTGCGGCCCCGGGCAGGGAAGGGCAGGCCGGACCCTTCTCCCTGGGAAGGCTCCTGAGCCCAGAGCGGCGTGTGAAACTTTGGTTTGAGCCTGGCTCCTCGCCGCCTCTTCCCGCTGAAGGGCCGCAAATGAGAGAACGCGGCTCGTTTTCCCAAGGATTGGAACAGTTCATCTTCCAGCCCGAAGGAGACGGGGGACGAGCCCCTGACCCTGTAGATGCCCTGCCCTGCAGCCCCCGAGCCCAGCGGGCCGAGCTCGTCCTCCCCGCGATCGCAGCCCCAGGGCGCGCCGGGCGCCGGGGCCTCGCTCTTCCCCGGGGAGCCGCCGATCCGACCCGCGCTCTTTGGTATGCCAGGACTAAACGCTCGGACTGGTGGCAGACATTTGGCACTCTGAGGTGTACTAGTTTCTGTTTTTGTCAGGTCTAAATAGCCTTGATCCTCCAAGGGGTTAACGCTGGAGCCTATGCTTAAGCTAGTTCTGTCGGTGAAGGAGTCCACTCGTCCTTCATAGCCTAAATCCGCAGGCGCTGAGCACTGGTGCTGGGGCCAGGGCCGTTTGCAGTCTCCGTGGTTCTCCTTGTCTTCCCCGTTGTCTTCCTGCCCCCCTTGGAAGGAGTTCTCAGTCCAGTCCGACTCCTCGCTGACGGCGACCGCCGCGTTCATGTCCCTGAGGAACACCACGATGACCGTGATGTTGTCGCTGGAGCCGGCATCGCGAGCGGATGCCACCAATTTATGTGCTACCATGCTGCTGTCACCGTTGTTCTCCTTCAGATGGTCAGCCACCACTTTGACTGCCTCATCAGGGTTCACTGTGTCATAGAAGCCATCACAGGCCAGAATGAGGTAGTCTTCAGAGCCATCCAGCACCGTGGAGGCAGAGTCTGCGTCCCCACAGATGTATGGCTTGTGCTCAGCGTCCCCTGTGCAAGAACAGCAGAGAAACACAACCGTGGGTTTGCAGCCACAGCTTCCAGCAGCCCTTTATTAACTCAGTGTGGAGCCAGTGACTCTTATCCCAAGTTAAAGCAATTATTTGGAAATTATTCCCTCAGACTGTAGGGGGAAAAATAGAGGTTATTGCTCATAGGTCTTCAGCCGTATGTCAAATTTTGATGACTAGAAAATTAAAATTTTATAGTTAAAAAGCAAAGCAAGTCTCCAAAAGGAATGAAGGCTCTCTCTTACCAATAGCTCTGGAGACAGAGAGGCTCCCGTTCACCCTCCAGGCTCCAAACCAGACCACGCAGCCGCCCAGGGCCTCGATTCGCTTCTTCTCATCCTGAGCAGCAACACAAGAGAGAGCAGTCAGAGCTGCACCACACACTCAGCACTGCCATCAACATCTGCATTTTCACAAACACAGCAGGCCCCATGAGCCAAAGGATTTGCTCACAGGTCTAAACAAACCAGGATAGTGGAACATGCTCTGCTGCTCACAGATCCCTGCATGGCAGCGCTCCCCAGAGCTGCACCTGTGCTGGTCACTGCCCAGGGCTGTTCACACAGCCCCTTCTCACCTCTCGATCTGGTTTGTGGGGTTTCATCAGTTCCACTGCTTGGCCTCTCCTCACCAGCATGACCTGGGAGTCCCCCAGCCAAGCCACATGCAGCATATTCCCTCGGATGAAAGTCACCACCCCGGTGGTTCCGCAGCGCAGACTCTGGGAAAAAAATACATTTCCATTTCAAAGCATTTTCTTCCTTAACCCAGGGACAGAACACATTGAAACTGCAGCACAGAGCTATTCCCAGGGAGGAACAGGCAGTGCTTTCCCTACAGCTACAACTGCTCACTTACAGCCCCTTGGTGCCAACCTGGCTGAACACCAACGTGCCCCATGGCATCCCTGGCATGGGACCTGCCTGCCAGGAGCTGGGCACTGCTGGGCTGCTCCTGCTGCTGCCAGGCACAGCTGGGTGTTGGTGACCCCGAGGGCTGAGCCTGGGAGGCAGCTGAGAGTGGGAATGGCAGCAGCATCCCTCAGAGGAGCTGAAAGCTGGGAGAAGCAGGAGCTGACATTTTATGGGATGTGAAGCTATGGACAGAAAGACACCAGTAGGGCATGGAGAGCTCTGTGCTGATTCCACTGTGCCTCTCTGGAAAGGCAGGATTGATTTGCAGTTCATGCTCTCAGTCCTGTTGGAATTATTTACCAATATAACCGGATGGGACGTGCCTGGCTTGTCTGGCCCTTGCTGCTGGACCAAAGGTGGCAGCTGTGGTGGTTTCACCTCAGAGACACCTTTGGCTAAGCTGGATATTGCAGCTGGGGCTTGGAGACAAGTCCAGACATGCAGGAGCTCAGGTTTACCTCTGGCAGAGAAGCTTTAAGGCAATGGTGACGGAAAAAGGAGTTGGGTTCTGCTGGAGGGTTCTGATCCAGAGCTTTACTCTGCCCCACAGGCCTCTGAATGCTGCAACAGCTCCAACAGAACTCCCTGAACCACGTGGTTGCTGTTCTTTTTAACCCCGGGGGGAGGGAGAGGGAAGGGGTAGGGAGCCACCAACCAGGTAAGGGGAGGATTCTCAGGGGACAAATGACACCTGGATGGCCCAATGTCCCCCAGGGCTGAGGGCATCTTTTGAGCTCTGCCAATCACTCAATGCCCATCTGGAATGCCAGGACTGACAGACAGCGCTCAGCAGGGTCAGGGTGGGGAAAGGAGAGGTGATTGGCACACCTGGGGAGATCTACAGGGATAAACCTGAGGTATCTGAGGCAGACCATGACACGGCACCACAGCAGAGCCCTCACCTCCCTGGCTGCCTTCTGCACGAAGCGCTCGTCGGTGACGCGGAAGGCGCGGCACAGAGCCTCGGCCGGGTCCTGCTGGAACATCTCCTGGTGCACCATGTTCACGTGCAGGTGGATGGAGGCATAGATGGCAGCATCCACTCCTCCATGGCCATCAAACACTGCAAAATAAGCTTGTTCTTCTTGGTCCTGCCAGAGGAAACACAGGGAGGAAAAAACTCAGGTGGAAGCAACACAAAGAGCTCATTGGATTGCCTTAAAGCTTTGAACTTGGGATTTGTGCTGTCCTCATTAAATTGCAATTAGAGACAGAGTCTCCACTGGAGAAGCAAACTACCCTGACCACCTGCACTTGCATCAGTGGGAAATGTCCACCTTCCTGTTGAATTCTACCAGCAAAATGCAAGAGATGCCCTGTGTGGTGTTCTCAATACTCCTTAGGTCCCATTTGTTACAGCTCAGTCACACAACTCAAATGGGAAGTGCCATTCTCATCAAATTGTGCAGGAGATTTTGTGACTGCAAAAACCACAGAGAGAGAAGAACATCCAATACAGTTTGCATGAAGTCTACATCATGATTGGAATCCACCAGGGATAAAATGCCAGTACAGTTAAAATGTGAAGCCAGCCAGTCTTTGCTTTCACTCTTCTTTTTTCCTTAAATCTCAAATATATCATCTTAGATGCCTGTGTTTTAAAAAAACTGCATGTGCTCTCTCATCAGAAAATTGTGATTACATTCACAAATCAAATACAGCAAAATCACTCATCTTCAAGGCAGTTTTCTCAGCTTCCCCTCCTCTGTTCAGAGAAACAACGTGGTACCAGGAGACAGCAACTCCAGCAACTCACACACACAACACCAACCCACTGACAGAGCCAATTCAACCTTGACAGCCAGCTCAGTGACTGGAATATTTGCACATTGTAATTTTTAGGTAATGGGCTCCAACACAAATTGGAATAAGAAAGCTGACAATTGACAGGCAAAGGAAACATCTGCCTCTGTTTGCATTAATATCTTTTAAAGGTAAGAATGTGGATGGGGCAGAAGATGGTTATTAAAGTGACAGGGTGTAATAAAGAAGTAATTATGCAGCAATTTGATCCTTAAGGTAAAATTCTTGCCATTTTCTTTTACTTTCCATTCCTGAGTGTCCAGTTTTATATCTCAAGGGAGAGCAAGAATGAGTGTCTGACCAAAGGCAACATCAAGAAATTAATGGAAGAGAAGACAGGCCCCAGTTCCACCAAACTACTCACATTTCTAGAATTGTGTGTGAGCTCTCAGTCCTGTAAGGTTTGGATTTGTTTTGGATTTTTAAACTTAATTTCCTTATTTTTGCTTTTGGCTTCTTCCTCCCAAGAGGAAGGCTCAAAAAGCAGAGCACTCCAGCTGCCAAGTGGCTTCAGAGATGAACTGTGAGGTGACCAACTGCCAACCCTGCTGAGATCCATCACCCTTCACTCCCTCAGTGGAAAACCTCCTGCTTTTCCAGGATGCAAACCACTGAGAATGTGGCATTCACATTCTCTGAAAAAATCCCTTCACCCAGGGTTTTTCTCCTGGGAAGCTGAAAGGCAGTGAGAGAGGCCTCAGAGAAAAGGAAAACAATTCTTATCTCATTTGCTTCTCTTGTGTTGTGTTCATGTGGAATGTGTTTGGAGATTGTTTACCCACAGGTGATTGTTCCATTGGACTCTGCTGTGAGTTGTTTTGACTCATTGGCCAATCGGGGCCAAGCTGTGCTGGGACTCTGGAAAGAGTCAGGAGTTTTCATTGTTATCTTTTTAGCATTCAGTAAGTATCTTTTCTCTATTCTTTAGTATAGTATAGTATAGTATAGTATTCTTTAATATAACATAGTATAATAAAGTAATAAATTATTCTGATAAGATGGAGTCAGATGCATCATTCTCTCCCCTCGTTGGTGGACCAGCATTTACAATATTGACCACAGAGAGTGTGTGTGTGTGTGTGTGTGTGTGTGTGTGTGTGTGTGTGTGTGCTCACCTCAAGGTTGAAGAGCCTGGACTGGGCTCTGGAAAGAGTCAGGACTCTGGAAAGAGTCAGGAGTTTTCATTATCTTTTTAGCATTCAGTATCTTTTCTATATTCTTTAGTACAGTATTATTTAATATAACATATTATATGTTATAGTATAATATGTTATAGTATAATAAAGTAATAAATTAGCCTTCTGGTAAGATGGAGTCAGATGCATCATTCTCTCCCCTTGTTGGTGGACCAGCCTTTACAATATTGACCACAGGATGTGTTTCTGTGAGCTCACCTCGAGGTTGAAGAGCATGTTGAAGTCGGGGATGCAGACGTGCTTGTCCTCCATCTTCCTGCGCATGTTCTTGATGGCGTGGATGGAGGTGTCGTAGTAGCGGTGGGGCTTGGGCTGCAGGGGGAAATCCTTCACCCAGCTGCTGCAGATCTCGTGCAGTTTGCTGTAAACCAAACGGGCCAACTTCACCGTCTCGATCTCTGAGGAAGGCACAAAGCACAGATGAAAGCCTTGAGAGTGTTATTAAGGCAGAGTTTTGTCCCCTGCATACATTAGAGAGATGAAGCAAAACCATTTTAGCCAAGCAGTTGATGTCAGCAGGGAAATTCTGGGCTCTGATGCATGAAAAGAAGAAGCCAAAGTCACCATAATCAGCATTCATCAGTAAGCAGCTCATTGTTTGTTTGTCTTTTTAACTTAAACATTTCCCTGTGCCTTTGGGGAACTCATTTGCAGCAGCAGAGAAAATGAAAGGGAGGAAAAGTGCAGGATCCCTGGCCCTGCCCAGGGTGGTGCAGCTCTGACAGGGACTGTGTCATGGCACAGGGTGCCACCTACAGAACCCACCCTCCCTGACAATGACACACTGGGTTTGGACCAAATTCTCTGTTCTAAACACCATTTCATTGCAGAGCTGAGGCAAGGCTGTGGAAACAATCTGCAGAAATTACCAGAGTGATTTTAAGGTGTTTTGTGCACTTTCAGCAGTGCACAGGTGCCTTCTTAGCTATTCTCTGATTTCCTATTATTCCCATATTCCTGACAAAGGTGTGTCAGAGAAATCTGCATGAGCAAATGACAAAACCATAAAGGCCTCAAATTTAAGAAAATGCTGAACTGGCACTCCTGAGAAATTGTCATTTTAAAAGGTGAAAACTCAGGCACCTGACATTTGTTCTGAAATCCAGGGGAGGAAAACAGGAAGTCAGCATCAGAGCTGAACACATCCCCATCTCTTTGTTCATGATGGCTCACCAAAGGCAGGATCCTCAAAGCTGAGCAGCAGCAATCCAGGAGTGCCAATCACTCCTGCAGGAGGAGGGGCTCATGCAGGGAGGAGAGGAGGGAGTTGCAGCATCTCTCACTTCACAGAAATTGTGTGCAGAGCCTAAAAGCACCACTTACAAATTCCTGTCCTAGGTCTACAGTGACCAGGGAGCCCAGACCCTTAGGAACAAATATTGTCCTAGTTCTGTTGATTATGGGTTGGTTCAATCAAGAGGCATTAAACTGAAAATACACTGGATAAATAACCAAAAGGAACCTTGGCTCCTTGATCACACAGCTTTAAAATCAAGGGGTGGAAATCAAACACTCCCACAGTGTGAGTGGGGGGTTCCTCACCCCACCTGTGCTGCTCTCTCTGGGGCCACCAGAAATCTCCCTGGGTAATGTGTTTAAAGAGGGAACACATCCAACCTGAGGTGTCCAGGTTCTACTTTCCAGAGGAAAGCTCACAGAATTTGCTCTCCCATTCCTCATGTCCAACCTGAATTGTCCAAGTTGTATTTTCCAGAGGAAAGCCCACAGATTTTGCTCTCCCATTCCTCCCATCCAACCTGAGGTGTCCAAGTTGTATTTTCCAGAGGAAAGCCCACAGATTTTGCTCTCCCATCCCTCCCCACTGGGCAGACATGGCAGAGTCACCTGTGGCACCTCTGCAGGAGGGTGCCAGTGAACCCAGGGCCCTGCTGAGATCCTCACTGCCCTTCCCAGGGGACCCTGGGTGGTGTCAGCATCATCAGCAGCTGCTCGTGAGGTTAAAACAGGAGAATAATGAAATGCCAAATAAAAACCTCCCCCTCACAGCTGGAAATTACTCATCAATTGTTAATGCTGCCACGCTGAGCCAGAGCTGACTCAGCTGGCACTGCAGTTGTGTCATGGAGAATTTCATTTCCCTCCTGCTGCTCCCAAATCCCCAAGGTTGGAGGGAATGCTGAGCTGCACCACAGTAAGTGGGAAATCCAGCTCAGGCATTGCTGTTCCCAAAGATGACAGGGCAGAAGGAGGGTGGAAAGGATACAGGATTCAGGTCCTGCTTTTTAGTGCCACGTTTTATGAGGTGTGTTGATTACATGGACAGGTCAGAACCAAGGTTTTCCTTCATCTAGGAGCTCTAGATCCCTTTGGATATCTCTAGGATCCATCTCCTAGAACCTGGAACAACTGGGTAATGGACGTTAGGATTTGCTTTGTGACATCTCCTGGAAATCTGACACCACCACCAGGTCCCATGGTCCTGCTATCCAATCTCTGCTGGTTCCTCAACAATGCCAAACTTCCACGTGATTCTCTTCCTCCACACACAAACCCCAAACCTAAATGTCCTTAACCTGACCTTAACCTGCAAAAAAGAAAGCCAACAGGTCTCATGGAAAATCTCTTGCAGCTGGAAGGGAAGAGTGACTCAGATATCCAAAAACACATGGTCACCCCAAACACAACAGACCCCTAATCCTGCAATCCTACATTTGTGGACTCCAGACAGTTTTTCTTCTTGTAAGATTTGCATTCTTCTGTCATGGAGTTTCTCATTTCTCTCCACACCAAGAGCTGCTTTCCCCACTCCTAAGCACAGGACATGATTTGTCACGTTGCAATTCTCAGAGTGAAATGTGCCACTAAGGAAATTTGAAATAGCTTTTTTTTATCTTTCTGCAAATTCAAACTTGAGGCAAATCAGGTAAATGTCTCCTTGTATTACACAGAGTAAAAATCTTTCTGGGTTCATAAAAACCTGACATAGAACTGGATATTAAAGCCAGGCAGTGAAATTCAGCTTGGTTTCACATTCTGCAGCAGCTCAAACAGCACCAGGGCACAGTGAACTCTGAGCATCAAACTCCAGGATGTAGAAATCCCATTTTTACCACCTGCCACACTTTGCTTTGCTTTCTTCCAAAGCATTGAAGCATTGAATTCTCCCAGTGTGGCACCACTGAGGGCAGATCTCCTCTAGCACCAGCCCAGGCTTCTCCAGGACTGCCTGGAAGGGTCTCCAGGATGGAGCTGCTGCTGTCACCAGTCTTGTCTGGCTTTGCTGGGCCAAACCTTGCACTTGAAGCTCTGATGGAGCAGCTGGGGCTGCCCTGGATCCCTGGAGGTGCCCAAGGCCAGGCTGGATGGAGCTTGGGGCAGCCTGGGATGGTGGAAGGGGTCCCTGCCCATGCCCATTGATCTTTAATGTCCCAAACCTTTCTGTGATTCTGTCATTCTTATGTCCTGTTTTAGAAATGATCACTTAGATTATTTGATTTTGCAGGGTTTGTATGAAGCTGTTGCTTTACTACAGGCCAGAGGATTTCTCTCTTCCTCTCCCCCTAAACCCTCACAATTTAACACTCACACTGCAGCAGCAAAGGGATATTTTATTTCCAAGTATCCTCATTATGACAATTCACCTCAACAAACTACATCTGGAGCCCTATTCTTAGTGCCTGCTGCAGTCTGTTACCATCTCAATCTATGTTTGCCTCTGTCTTACAGCTTTAGATATATTTAAACGTCAATTTCTGTAGGTGTGAGGATTTTGTGGTGGCTTTTTTCCCTTTCTTTTTTCCTTTTTTGTTGAATTCTGTAGATATTCTGTGTGGAGGCTTAGTCAACATTTCCTTGGAGACTGTCAAATATTTATGCAAGTTTCAGAGATCTCAATTTGAAATTAATGAAGGCTGCTCAGCCAGAACAATGACAAATCTATTCCATTTACCTGCTCAGCAGGAGGAGGCAGCAATACCTACAGAAAGGGAACCCAGAGCAGGTTTTTCTGTTCCTCAGGTTTCCAAGGGCCTCTGGGGAATACAGCAAAATCTTCCTTTTTGAAGAGCCAGATTTATGGATCCTCCTTTCCCCCAGAATAATTTCCAGGATTTTTTAAATCAAAAAAGGAGGGAATGGACAAAGTGGTTTGGGGACTGTATTTTCAAGATCAAATGACAGAATTCCTGTTACTACATGTGAGAAACATTGGTTTTTGTTGTAATGAACAACCCAGATAATTTTCAAGGTTATTTAGGCCAGCACACTCCTGAAATGAGTTAGGGTGCATGACCTTGAGCTGGAGGCTGCAAAAATCTTGTCAGCCAACACAGATAAATGAGAAAAAGGATTTTTCTTCCTTTTAATCAAGAAGTCTCTTTATACTACCTTTTGCTAAAACCATAAAAAAAACCTTACAAGCCATAGTAAAAACCACACTGACTGAAATAATTCAGAATTAAATTATCTCTTCCCACATATATTTGACTTTGCTCCAAGGATGAGGGAGGACAACTGGCACTTGCCAGCAGAACCACATTGTATGAAGTGCTGAGAGAGAGATTCAGGGCCATCAGCAGACACAGCCACGAAAATGCATTTTATAGAGTGATTCCAAAGGTTTGATTTGAGCAATTAGACCTGCAGCTCTGTCAGGAGTGGAGGTGAGCTCCCCATGAGGTTTTTTCCATCCATGTGGGGTGTTTCTGTCCCAGAACTGCAGCCCAGGGGTGGGATTTGGGGAATTGGGAATTTGGAATTTGGGAGTTTGGAATTTGGGAATTTTGAATTTGGGATTTGGGAATCTGGGATTGGGTGGCACTCACGGATGATGCCGTCGGCGTTGTCCACGTGCTTGGGCAGGAAATGCGCCGAGAGGTCGCTCTGCAGGACTTCATCTGAAGTTGCTCTGGCTAAAGCAGAGGCCAGGAATGAGGGGCAATTACTGGAAAGGAAAAAGAGAAAGCACAAAAAGATGTTTAAGTGTGATTCAGCAAGGTAACATGAGTGTATTCTTCACCAAGGTTCTTTCCCTGAGCCCTGCAGCAAGACCTCAGACTCACTGATGGGTTTTGGTTGCCCCCTTTCACTCCTCTGTTCCCTGGTTCTTAAGTTTTAATGTTTCAGTTCACAACCTCTATTTAAATTCTTTTCAAATCTAGGCTTGAACCCTCCAGAGTCTGTCACACCACTGTACATTTTTTACATATGTATGGTACAATTTTAAATCAAGTTAAGTCCAGTTTCTCCTAAGATTTGGAGTTGGGGTTCCAGAATTCCTCAGATTTCAAAGTGTCCAAAGGCTCCCTAAGGGGCACGGGAAGTTCAGGTTAACCCACAGGGAGCTGATGTGCATAAGGTAAAAAAGCTCCCTCAGGAATGATTTCTACCCAGAGTGAAGTGGCTTTAACTCACTGTAGTTTAATTAAACTTGGTATCCCCCAAGGTTAATTAATCTATAGCAAGCCAAGGCCACTTTAATGTACATTCTCTCATTCAAGTGGAATTTAATAACTCTAAATTTGTGTATAACTTTGCATTTCCCATTGGTCAGCCCCAACTTCTCCAGGTATCTCCTGCTGACACAGCCTGAAACTTCCAATTTCCACAGATTTTAGTGGGATAATGATGTCTTTCCCAATACATCCACTCTCACAGGGCCACAGAGAGACACAGAGCCAATTTCAGCCCAGAAACCATCCATCAACCACAGAATTCCAAGTGAGAAATCCAGAGAACAGGCAATGAACAACAACACTTCCTTCTGTTCAACATATCTATAAACGATTAAAGGATAAGATGAACAATAATAAGCTTTGCCTAACACTGTTAGGAAGCTCTGGAAATCAGACACAGTGCCTCATTAGGGCCTCACCCATCCGAGGCTTTTCCCTGGAATTTCCAGGCAGGATTCCGGAATCAGCTGCCTCAGGGCCGGCCCTTCTCGGGCTCCGATCCCGGCCCTTCCCGGCCCTTCCCAGGGCTCCGATCCCGGCCCTTCCCGGGGCTCCGATCCCGGCCCTTCCCGGCCCTTCCCGGGGCTCCGATCCCGGCCCTTCCCGGCCCTTCCCGGGGCTCCGATCCCGGCCCTTCCCGGGGCTCCGATCCCGGCCCTTCCCATCCCAGCCCGGGGCTCCCATCCCGGCCCCCCTCAGGGCTCCGATCCCGGCCTAGCTCAAGGCTCCGATCCCGGCCCTTCCCATCCCATCCCATCCCATCCCATCCCATCCCAGGGCTCCGATCCCAGCCCTTCCCAGCCCTTCCCAGGGCTCCGATCCCGTTCCCATCCGGAGGAAAACCCCGGCACATCCCCTGCTGCTGGCACGCGGAGGAGCTGATTTCCTGCCTTGTTTCTTCTGGTTTTATTTGGCTCACAAAGAGCAGTGATGCTGGTTCTGCTCATGTTACAGAGATTCCCCAAAAAGGGAGAGGCTGCAGTGCCCAGGATAGCAGAATTATCCCAGCAGTTACCAGCAGGGCACCCGCAGGAATCTGAGGTGTTTCCAGTCCGAGGCTTCCCCTGACCAGCTCAGTGCTGAAAAACCAAACTTGTTTTGTGTCGCTTCTAAAGAACCCTCAGGAACATCATGGGCAAAGAGGGAACCTGGTTAGGAACGTGGCTAAAATAGACTCAGGACTAAACAGCAAAGAATAAATAGCCCAGAGGGGAGGAATTTCTGCTTTGCCTGGCCCTGGGAGGGGGCACAGCAATGTCTGTGGATACCCAGAGCCATGAACGCTTGTATCTGAAATTTTAGGTATTGTTTTAACTGCAGTGACCAATGGCACAAGTGAAGGCGCATTTACAGGGGGTGTAGCAGGTCAGAGTATTTCCCCCCAGCTCCAAGTGCTCTTCACGTGTTCCATTTCCACACAGCAGCTCTATATCCAGCCATAGAGTGCATTTCCATTACAATGCTAAACCTACACAAAAAGCTGCTAAAGATGTTATTAGATAAATTAAAGGATTTTGAGTACATCCTTCCTGATTCTCTGGCAGCGTAGGTGTGTTTAGAACACCCACAGTTGCATTGTAGCAATCCTGGAATAACTCTGGGAGGGTATTAAGTCAAGCCTAAATGTGCTCTGCTTCCATGAATTAAGTTGGAGAAAACCAGTCTGAGGTGGGTTTAGTTCAGCCCACATATTATTATGTTACCAGCTTAACTCCTCTCCATCCTGATAGCATTAAAGTGGGGAGGACTTTCTAAACACCTTCCCTGAGCTGTTCCTCTGTGCTCTGAATCTAATACAAACTCTCCTCCTGAAAATAAAAGAGATGGCAAATTTGAAATTCTTATTGCAAGGGAGTTCACTGCTGGAGCTTGAGCAACTGATCAATTTGGAGGGGAAAGGTAAAGAAAACAAATCAGCTGAAGGCTTTCCTTCTATGTCTGGCCACTCTTTGTCCTAATAATAACAGCTGCTGGCCCAAGAATTAATTGCCCTTGACATTTGTTGATCACAAAGCTTCTTATGTGGCTGCTGCAGGGCTGTGCCATGTGAGCAGGGAGGTGCCCACACGCAGACAGATGATTTCCCCTTCCTGATTAGCACCTCTCAACGTTTCCTTCTCTCCCCTGGCTCCTCAGAGCACTTTTAGTTGAATTACTTTTTCCCTTCAAGGAACAGCAGATTGCACTGGAGGTTTAAAATAGCTGTTGAAGGCAAACTGCTCTGAGGACACTTCATTACTGCTCCACCAAGACAAATGAAGAGCCAGCTCTGGGATCTCTGTTTGCAGCACCAAAGTGAGCACTCAGGTGAGCAGATACAACATGACACAAACAGCAATCCAAGGGGGAAAGTTCTCCCTCTTCACAAAACCCAAAATTATCACCAGGATCCCTGGGGACAGGGAGGAGCTGCCACCCTGCTGCTGGTGTAACCAGGGGTTACCTGCTGGCTCTGCAAAGAAATTCTTCTGCCACCTTCTAGATGCTCAAATGTTATTAGTCATGAAGTGTGACAAATTGAAACTGGGAGGGCACAGTCTTGTTTAGCAGAGAGCTGAGAGCTAAAATGCCTTTGTCTATTCATAGCTGTGCCACTAACTCAGCAGCTGACCTTGGACGAGTCACTTCACCACTCAGACCTTCATTCCTCATCTGCAAACAAGGAATGAGAATGTCATTTCCTCAGGGAGAGGAGGAGGAGGAGGAGGAAGGCTGTAGAAGGCCTAAATTTGTGTTTGTGAAGTATTCTGGAATTTCTTGCTAAGAACCCAGCTGAAGGGAAAAATACCAAGATGAGAGTGGGAGATATTTTCAATCTATAGGAGATTTATACTTTCATACTTCTGATAGCTTTCCTTAGGTTTTTCTCACTCTTTTCTCATAACTGCCAGAAGTGCTAAGTGGAACACACAGGCAAACAACAGCTCTGGATAACTCACAATGTCACCAACAACTGCAGGAGAGGGGGAAACCAGCAAAGAGAGACCTCAAGTTCTTAAAACTCACATTTCTGAGCATTAGCACTGCTGATGGGAAAATGGAGCTGCAGCCCCTGCCTAACATCCACAACGAGGGCACCAGGGCTGAAAATCCCCAGCCCTGTCATGGTCTGGGGGAGCTGATGAGGCATCACTAACCCAAACAAACAGGGAAAATGGACCAAAACGAACTGGGGCTTTCAAGAGGCAAAGCGGGCAGTAAATCACAAAATGCATAGTGTTCCTGTTACCTCAGGAATCCCCTGACACCACAGAACAACAATTGTTTTAGTTAGAATGAGCAATGATTTAAATAGAAATGCTATTCAATCTGCTGAGACACAAAACAAATGCACAGGCAAACAGGATAAAGCAGCATATTTGGTTTCACCCAGCAATCCAAGACCCAGAACATGACCTGAAAAGAACCAAGCACAGCACATTCCCCAAAGGCCTGTAATTTACTGTGGTAGTAAAAGACTTTGTAGGGATGACAAATGAACTGCACCCTTTCCAAAAGACATTCCAGCAGGGATGCACTTTGGGAAACTCCCGCTCGTGTGGCCAGTTGCAAGCTCTTGTTAGAAAGCAACTTCTGCCAGATTCACTTTAAGAAAAACCTCATTTGTCCCCTGCCTGTATTTACAAAACATTCCCAACTCTCAGGAGACCTTCCAGATGGAGCTTTGGAAACAGCCTGGAAGCTTTTTGAAGAAGCCTTTAAAGTCTTTATTATTGCAGGTTCCCATGCTGGGAAGTGCAGAGCAATGAGCAGAGAAATGCTTTGGGGAGCTCCTTGGGCTGTTTCCCCACCCTCCCTTCCTCCAGCTCCTGTTTCTGTGGCCATCCAGAGGGACCTGCAGCATTGAGGGGCTCCTGTTTGTCCCCAGACTCCTCCAGGTCACCCAGCACTAGAGGGGAATATGCAGTGAAGCATTCCAGGACCCTGAAATGATTATGGCTGCATCCTCTGGATCTGCCCAGCAGATGCTATTTCCAGCTCCCATCTCTGCAGGTTCTCCTCCCCTGACTCCCAGAGCATCCCTGCCCTGTGCTGTTCCACTGCTCTGCACAGCTGCTGGAAGTTCTGATGCTTATTTAAAGCCTGGTCACGCTGGACAAATGGAGTATTATTATTTTTTTTCCCCCCTTAACACATGGTGAAACCCTGCACTAGATTTATCTGCTGCAGTGAGTTACTAAAAAAAACCCTGGCACACACACACACACACACATCCAAAAATAAGAAACAAATAGAAAAAACAATGCACCTTTTACAAGCTTGCATAACCAAAGCTCCTTGAGAAGTCATTTGAGCTGGCAGTGGTGAGACAGTGAAGATGTTGATAAATCTGTTTGAGGGAGCTGCAAACGTGCTACCCAAGGAAGCTGCTATCTATAGGCTCCCAGAGACAGCTGCCTGCTCGCATCCCAGCCAGCCTGTCCTTGTGCTGACAGTTGTAAGCAACAGAAATATAATACACAAGCCTTGCAAAAAGACACTTCAGATA